TCATTTGAATTATTATTTATTAGAAAAAAATTCAGAAGCAAAACGACAGCGGCAAAATGTTTTAATTGTCAGGAATAAGGTATTTTGCAAGGAAGTAACATATAATACACACTGCATCTGTGCACTGCATTCTTTCACTATGAAAAGGTATTCTATACAGTCCAGCTAAACGCAATCCAGAGTGGTGTACTTGCAGAGCAGCTCATCAACGTACCGAAATAAACGCACCATGCATACAGTACAATCATTACATTCGACAAAATCCCAAGGATTTTAGTCATAAAAGGCAAGAAACAAGGGAACAATTTCTATCTACAGGAAATTCTAGAAATGTTTCTCTGGCGGATAGTCTCTAAAAGAGAAATAAAAATCAATGGTGAGGCAACCGCGCTACCTAAGATTCACCGATCCGTTGCGTTCATAATGGACAGTACAACTGCAAGCAACTTTGAAAGAATTCAACGGAGTGGAAATATAACGTTTCCTACTACCGATACCGTAAGATATAGAAGTCATTATACCGGGTTATAGTGCAAAATTGTACCGCCCTTTTTCATGTATTCATGTAGGGGGACCATTTAAGCAACCTATGGCTACAGGGTGTTTAAGTGCTTGCAGTCCATAGAATGAATACCCTGCGTTTGTGAGTAGAAACACGTCAACTCATAGATATGGAGGGAAGCAAAATGAATGCTCTCATCCGGCGTAATGCTTCTTGACCTCAAAGCATTATAGAATTAGCGTCCAACTGCCAGAAATATTTAAAACAACTCGAAGAGTGGCAAAACTAATTTAGTCGATACAGCTTATTTGCGATGAACCAATACTGCAGAAAATCCAAATAGTATTTAGTCAAAAGGCTGTAAGTTCAAGCAAAACGAAATCCGTTTGGTGGGAGTTCAACTCCGTAAGAAACAGTACTGGAAAGGCCAGAATTGAGACAGCTGCATTGGCAATGATACTGTACGGCAGCAGCAACATGTAGTAGTTATCAAAAGTTATCAGGAACGTTAGAGAAGAAGGATGTTAAGAATTTCGACCACGACGATATTCCCTGTACAAATGCCTGAGAGCAAACCGGCGTAAAAGATGTTAGCGTGAAAAGTAAGTGGGACAAAATGGGATGGGCGCTAGGCACGTAGCTTTGTTCAATGACCAGCGATGAACGATAGGTGCAAGGAAACGTAATTGGATCACCTTCTAAAAATATTTTATTTCTGGCTTTCAGCGACAGTCTAGCAAAGGAAAATAAGAATGAGGCAAGCATAACAGAAGTGCCATGACCTGCGCATTCTATGTACCTGATGCATATCCATCGATCAAACGATCACTGCATATTAAGAAATCAAAATAATAACGGTTTGTGTGCCAACCACGTAAATATATGCTTAACTATTTCAAAAACGGAATATGCCACATGGTCTGAGTGGCACAGACAGGTGCGAGCGCTGAAGTAAGCCGCACCTCTAAGGCACTTGAGTATCTGCAATATCAGATGCATCTAAGGTCGTTTTGTTCTTCATCTTGGGTGAACGACGTTCAACAGTCATTACGCGCTACATGTAACCTTTGGCACAGACACACTAGGGTAATAGAGCTGTCGAGGACTAAACGGACAAAAATCCTGCCTTTCCTCGACTCCAAATTCTGCATATCATTTATTCTTTCACTACTTGTCTAATCAATTCTTTCCGTTCTTCTGTACTCCGTAATACAGTGAACACGGGAGTACTCATTTTATTACTGCTGATCTAAACGGATTGCTTTCACTGCTCAAGAGAGGTTGTAACTCCACTGCTTGCATTTGCTCAGAACTACTCGAAGGTAAAAGTTGAAAGGAGAGTGTATTCGGCAACTAATT